GCCAATGGCCCAACTGAAAGCAGCCCTAACCCCCCAGGCCCTGCCCCAGCCAAGGCTGAAAACGAAGAGGCTGCGGCTTGTCCTGCCTGGGAACGTGGAGCCTGGCCTGAAGGAGCTGAGAGGAGCTCCCGGCCTGACACACTGCTCTCCCCTGAGCAGCCACTGTGTCCTACAGGGGGCTCCGGGGGTCCATCCAGCAGTGCCTCTCCCGAGGTCGAAGCTGGGCCCCAGGGATGTGCCACTGAGCCCCGGCCCCATCGTGGGGAGCTCTCCCCATCCTTCCTGAACCCACCTCTGCCCCCATCCACAGATGATAGCGACCTCTCAACTGAGGAAGCTCGACTAGTAGGAAGAGGGGGGCGGCGTCGGGCAGGAGGGCCAGGGACCACGGGGGGCCCATGCCCTGTGACTGATGAGACACCCCCCACATCAGCCAGTGACTCAGGCTCCTCACAGTCAGATTCTGATGTCCCGCCAGAAACTGAGGAGTGCCCATCCATCACAGCTGAGGCAGCCCTCGACTCAGATGAAGACGGGGACTTCCTGCCTGTGGACAAAGCTGGGGGTGTCAGTGGTACTCACCACCCCAGGCCTGGCCACGACCCACCCCCTCTCCCACAGCCAGACCCCCGCCCATCCCCTCCCCGCCCTGATGTGTGCATGGCTGACCCCGAGGGGCTCAGCTCAGAGTCTGAGAGAGTAGATAGGCTACGGGAGAAGGAGAAGGTTCAGGGGCGAGTAGGGCGCAGGGCCCCAGGCAAGGCCAAGCCAGCGTCCCCTGCACGGCGTCTGGATCTTCGGGGAAAACGCTCACCCACCCCTGGTAAAGGGCCTGCAGATCGAGCATCCCGGGCCCCACCCCGACCACGCAGCACTACAAGCCAGGTCACCCCAGCAGAGGAAAAGGATGGACACAGCCCCATGTCCAAAGGCCTAGTCAATGGACTCAAGGCAGGACCGAGTACGTATATCATGAAACGTGGCAGAGAGTGTGGGTTAGGGCTGGGTGTGGCTGGTCAGACTCCAGGAGTGGGAAAGAGGGGAAGGTTGCCAAAAGGGTTCCACTTTTCCTCTACAATGAATCCTGGCTTGTCTCTACAGTGGCCTTGAGTTCCAAGGGCGGCTCTGGTGCCCCTGTATATGTGGATCTCGCCTACATCCCGAATCATTGCAGTGGCAAGACTGCTGACCTTGACTTCTTCCGTCGAGTGCGTGCATCCTACTATGTGGTCAGTGGGAATGACCCTGCCAATGGAGAGCCAAGCCGGGCTGTGCTGGATGCCCTGCTGGAGGGCAAGGCCCAGTGGGGGGAGAATCTTCAGGTGAGTAGCAAAGGACACCAAGGAAGTAGTCTGGTCAAAGCTCACTCAAGAGGCAATAGTGGAACACAGTCCCTATTTATTAAAGGATGGGCCTTTTCTAAGGGCAGCAGGGCTGCTTCTGAGACAATCGGATGCCCCTTCCCCCTCACCTACCTTCCCTTCATGTTCTCACATCAGGCATGTCTTATCTCCCTCCTAGGTGACTCTGATCCCTACTCATGACACGGAGGTGACTCGTGAGTGGTACCAACAAACTCACGAGCAGCAGCAGCAACTGAACGTCCTGGTCCTGGCTAGCAGCAGCACCGTGGTCATGCAGGATGAGTCCTTCCCTGCCTGCAAGATTGAGTTCTGAAAGAGCCGCCCTCCCTTCCCCAAGGATCCACTCCCCCAGCTCCTTTAGAGAATAGCTACTGCTGAGTCCTCTGGGGTTGAGGGACATGGGAGCTAGGGGGAGGGGAGGGAGATGTCTTGTTGTGGGGACTTGGGCTGGGCTAAGTGGGAGGGGTTGTCCCTCCCCGTCATCCATTCCTGAGAGGGGTCTCAAACCAAAGTTAACAGGGAGAGGATGGGGGAGGGGAAAAATTAGAATAAGATAGCATCTGATGCCTGAGAACCCTCTCCTAGCACTGTCAAATGCTGGTATTGAATGGGGACTGAGGATGGGTCTCAGAGAGCAACCTCCTCCCTCGTAGAGGGAGATTATATCCCCAACTCCAGGGACCTCTTTATCTCAATCTATTTATTTGGCATCCCGGGAAGGATTTCCAATAGTAATTTATGTGACCTGGGGGCAGGATACTGTCAGTGAGGTGCCCAGAGCTGCATCCTTTTCTCCATTTCCCATCCCCCATCTCCTCACCCACCAGGGTCTGAATTCTAGCAGGGGCCTGGGGGTATCCCACTGCTACACTGTTCTGTTGCTTCCCTCAGTATCTGAATGTCTCAATTTAAAACTTGAAGCTCTTTAGACCAACAGACTGGTGAGAGGAGAAAGGAGCTTATCCCCCAGCCCCTGCTTTATACCATTCACATCCCAGGGCTGTGTCCAGACAGCACAAAAGGGCAAGGAGAGCCCAAGCCCCAATGCCAGAATTCTTTCAAACTCCCTGACTCTTTGAAGTTTTTACTCACCCCGTTTCAATTATCCTGATCCCTTCTCATCCCCTGCTTGGCTTCTGTGCATGTGGTCATCTGCTGTGGCCTGGTGTGTAATGGGTTAAAAATAAGCCACTGCCTGACATCCCAACATTTGACACCCCAGCAATGTGTGACTCCCCCAACATTCCACTATGCCATCCTGCAGCTGAAATGGGAACACTGGCTGCCTCTCCAAACCTGCTCTTGGACAGAGGATCTGGGAGGTGGAGGCCAGGCCAGAGGACTTAGGGAAAATGAGAGGGAGGAAGGAAAAAGGGAGAAGAAGCTGAGCCATAGCTTAACTCCTACAGAGTGAAATGAAAACGGGCTGAAAATACCACCCCAGGAGAGGACCTCACCCCAAGCAAGCCAGTGAGCAGTCCTGCCAGACTACTGCCAGACTGAGAAACCCAGAAGCTGGTAGTCATGTGGGCTTACCTTCTCTGCCAAGCGACTGGGAAACCAAAATGAGTCCACCTTGTGTTCTTAGCTCCACCCTCCCCGCGCTGCTGTGCTCTGCTCCTCCCCACACTTCCCTGCTATAGTTCCCAGCTGCTGTAACGGAGCCACCTCCAACTCTAACAATAAACCCAGTTCATTGCAGATGATGTAGTGCCGCTTAGGCTTTTTCTGACTCCATACATGCTTAGTTACTGGGCCCCGGTTTCCACCTCTCTGCTTCAACCAGTCTTGAATTTATCTTGGAAGACTCCAATGCTTTGGATTACTGGAAACACGTGTGCCTGAGTATGGAGAACAGGAGCCTAGGGTGGGTATATACGTCTGGTTTGGGGGAAGGGAAGAGGGGCAGGGGGCCTCCTGGGGAGGGGATATGCATTCCATGGGGTCAAGAGTTAAGGACCAAACAACCAGGATCAGATACCCTGGACAGCCTCTTGGGCTAAAGAGGTAAGAAGCTGAAGGACCCTAAGAGATCCAGAGCCTAATGAGGTTGGAAACGACTCTCCTTGTGCAGTCAGGATTTCCGTGGAGTAAAATGGTCGACTTTTCTCCTCCATGGAAACCCTTTATAGTCCTAAGTATGTCAGAAGTGGCCAGGCTGAATGTGTATATTTGGGGAGGGGCATATTCTAGCCCTCCCACTGTTCTGGGCTCTCTCATGGTAAAGATGTCAAGGGAGCAGAGAAAGGGCATAACCCCTTTATATAAACTCCTCCTGACACTCCAGAGTGAAAAATTAACAGGATGATTCCAAGAACGTGGTGAGAAGGCATGTACCCTCTGGCACTTCACAGAGAGGGAAACTCTTTCTGGTCCCCCATCCAACACTCTACTTACTCAATAAAGACCTTTTGGGGACCAGACATGGTGGCTCACACCTGTAATCCCAGCACTTTGGGAGGCCAAGGCAGGCAGATCATCTGAGGTCAGGAGTTCGAGACCAGCCTGGCCAACATGGCGAAACCCTGTCTCTACTAAAAATACAAAAAAATTAACTGGGTGTGGTGATGGGCACCTGTAATCCTAGCTACTCAAGAGGCTAAGGCAGGAGAATCACTTGAATCCAGAAGGCGGCAGTTGCAGTGAGCTGAGATTGCGCCACTGCACTCCAGCCTGGCGACAGAGCGAGACTCTGTCTCAAAAAAGAAAAAAAACAAACAAACCTTTTGAGATAGTGGGTTAACTGCTATAGGCACCTCTTGGGATGCCTGATCTCTGTTTTTTTTGTTTTTTGGGGGGTTTTTTTGTTGTTGTTGTTGTTTTTTTTTTGAGACAGAGTCTCACTCTGTCGCCAGGCTGGAGTGCAGTGGTGCGATCTCAGCTCATTGCAACCTCTACCTCCTGGATTCAAGCAATTCCCCTGCCTCAGCCTCCTGAGTAGCTGGGATTACAGGCATGCGCCACCATGCCCGGCTAATTTTTATATGTTTAGTAGAGATGGAGTTTCACCACGTTGGCCAGGAAGGTCTCAATCTCTTGACCTCGTGATGCACCCACCTTGGCCTCCCAAAGTGCTGGAATTACAGGTGTGAGCCACCGTGCCCAGCTGACCTCTATGTTTTTATAGTCTATTTTTGGATGCTTGATCTCTGTATTTTTACAGCCCATTCCTGCTCAATTATAATGGCTTTTGACTGATTCAGATCAGTTATAGACACAATTGACTCACAGTCACACACATATATATATATACACACACACACACACACACATATATATATATATATATTTTTTTTTTTTTTTTGAGACAGAGTCTTGCTTTGTTGCCCAGGTTGGAGTGCATTGGTGTGATTTCAGCTTACTGCAACCTCTGCCTCCAGGGTTCAAGTGATTTTCCTGCCTCAGCCTCCCAAATAGCTGGGATTACCGGTGTCCACCATCATGCCTGGCTAATTTTTGTGTTTTTAGTAGAGACAAGGTTTCACCATGTTGGCCAGGTTGGTCTCCAACTCCTGACCTCACATGATTTGCCCGCCTTGGTCTCCCAAAGTGCTGGGATTACAGATATAAGCCACTGTGCCCAGCCCATATTCATTCTTGAATTCACAAGGACATCACCATCATCCATCACCATCATTCTCATTATTTCATATTTATTGAGCACTCATAATGTTCCGGCCCCTGACTCCAATGACCGTATTACCCCTCCTACCCACTCCCATTCCCATCCCTGGATCTTTGGAAAAAGCTTCATAATCATATCTGGCCCTCAGATACAATGATATAAGGACAAATTTCTTGGGGACCCTGGAGTGTTTGGTCTTTGGCCAGTCTGTCCCTGGCACAACTACAGAAATATATATATATATATACACACACACACACACATCTATATGTGTATATATATATTTATTTATTAAACCTTTGCTTGTATCTGTACAATACTGATCTCTGCTCATTGCTTAAAATAGAACCTGATTATCTCTACTACTACAGCATCTCCTAAGCCAAACAGCCCACCACAGAGGGAGGCCCAGTTTCACAGACTGGCTAAGAATCCTCTAGAGCATTTTAAGTAGTTGCTTTGAATTTTGTACAGCAGTTTAATACCTACTTTTCCCTAGAGCTATTGCCCAGAGGAACAGGACTGAGGCAGAAGGGGCACTTGGGGATGATATGGAAAGATCTATAAGGCAAGTCTAAAGATTTAGTGGCCATGACAGATGTTTGGGGAGGGGACTGTATTTTCCATACATTTCAGATAGCCATCCCGGGCTCACCTGAGGAGTGCTGGCAAAGACAAGAGTCCCCCGAATGCACATATGGTCTAAGCATACCTTGAGAAGTCGTGACTATTTCCCCAGAAAAGTGAAGACCCTAGAGTCCCCTCTTTTGCATTTGCTGTCCCCAGATGAAGCAGCATTTCCTTTAACAATCTATGATTTCCTAGGATGCTCAGAGAAGGCTGGGTAATGAGAGACCAACCCACCCCAAGGAAATCCTATTCAAGTCTAATGGTTAGGTGAAGAGCCAATGGCTTCTTTGAACCTAAAACTGGCTCCTCCTTAAGCACAGCTCTGGCACAGGTATGCTTCATACCAAGAGAACTACTTCCCCAGACACTGCTGGTGAGAGCTGGCCAGTGAGTTAGCCAACAGAAAAGGTTGCTGGCTCAAATGGCTGGTATAGTGTGACACCACTAATGAGAAAATTAATCACATGTTGCTGGTGGAAGGGGTGAGTGCTGGTCATGGGCTAGAGACTGGCTCTGAGGGTTTGGATCACTAGATAGATGCTGGGCTTGAGGAATACCCTCTCCAGGCAGCTGATGGATCACCTCAGGGACCACCCAGGACTTCTAATTTATCTCCTCAGGGACCTCCTGGGCCTGCAGATCAATCTCCTCAGGGAACTCTTGGGATGGTTTATCAATCTCAGGGATGCCCTGAGATAACAGACTGATCGCAGAAGGCTCCTGGGCCAGCCTGCCAACCTCCACAGAGAACTCCTGGTATGGCTGGCTGACCTCCTCAGGGATCTCTTCAGCTGGGCTGCCAACTTCTACAGGGGTTTCCTGGACCAAGCCACCAACCCCTACGTGGGACCTATGGACCAGCTTGCCAGCCTCCACAGAGACCCCCTGGCATGGCTGGCTGACCTCCTCGGGGTTCTCCAGACATAGCTGGCAAACTTCCTCAGAGACTTTCTGGCACAGTTGGCTGGCCTTCTGGCACGGCTGGCTGATCTGAGGGACCTCCTGGCATGTGTGGTTACCATTGTCATGGTTCTCCTGGCATTGCTGGCTGATGTCAGGGACCTCCTGACATGGCTGGCTGAGCGCCTCAGAAATGTCCTGGCATGACTGGCTGATGTCAGGGACCTCCTGACATGGCTGGCTGACCTCCTCAGCCACCTCCTCGTATGGCTGGCTGGTTTCCACAGGTGGCACCTGTGGGGACTGATTTGGTTCAAAAATCTCTTGTTTCCCTTCTATGGAGAGCTCTTGTGCTCCATTCCCAGGGGTCTCCCGGAGCAGCCCAAGGCATTGATGTTCTTCAGTCACGTGTGAATTTAGGGAGGGTTGATCGCTGAAGCCAAATTGGGAGTTACCATCTACTGTAGTAGGGGAAGAAGGACCAGCACTGGACACAGTGCTAGAAGGGCCACTGCTGTCTGTAAAGCAAAGTCAAGAGATCAAGTCAGAGAAGCTGGAAGAGTAGGCTGTACCCTGTGCAGATAGTTCAAATGCTAGAATGGTTGGCCTATGCTACTTACGTCTTGAGGGAAGAGTGTCTGAATTCTTCCTAAGTTAAGCAGAGACTCCTAAGTTTGCTTAGCTCAAGAACTGTCACCCTGGCCTAATGTATACTTTGAGAGTAACAATAAGGTACGTATAAGACTTCAGGAGAGAGTGCTAAGACCCACTTCATCTGGTTCTTTCACAAATACACTCCCATCAGAATTCCAAGTTCCCAAGGCCTCTCATTCCTACTTTGGAAGAATATGAATACTTTAGCCCAGTGGTTCATAATCAAAATCATGAAAAATTTTTTTAAATGCTAATTTCCAGTTTTCAACTCCAGAGATTCTAATTCTATAGGTTTAGTGTAAAGGTGTAGCTTGGAGGAGGGAGGAGGATGAAGGCAATATAATTTTGTTGGAACACTCCCAGTTGATTCTGATGTATACCTTCTGTTAAGAATCATTCTTTAAAGCAATCAATGTATTTCTAGGGCAGAGGTAATCATTATTTATAGCCCAAATGATAAGTTGGCAGGAGAATGTAGAAAAACCATGTAAATCAGAACAACAGGAAAGAAAATGGTTTACCTGGCTGGGTGCGGTGGCTCACGCCTGTAATCCCAGCACTTTGGGAGGCTGAGGCAGGCAGATCACTTGAGGTCAGGAGTTCAAAACCAGCCTGGCCAACATGACGAAACCTTGTCTCTACTAAAAATACAAAAATTAGCCAGGCATAGTGGCGGCTGCCTGTAATCCCAACTACTCAGGAGGCTGAGGCAGGTGAATCACTTGAACCCCAGAGGTGGAGGTTGCAGTGAGCTGAAATCATGCCACTGTGCTCCAGCCTGGGTGATAAAGCAAGACTCCATCTCAGAAAAAAAAAAAAAAAGAAAATGGTTTACCCAAAAATGGAAGACGGCCATGGAATTTCTACATGGCAGTTCTTAACCTTTCTAGGGGTCAGTGGCCCCTTTGAGGTGCTAATGAAAGTCCAGGAAAAATGTATATAAGAATATTCACACTAATCTTTACGTGTGATTCCTGAAGCTCATAGACTCTACCCTGAAACCACATCTATGGATCCAGGGTTAAGACTCTTGTAAGTCTTGGGACATACAATGAATGTTACAGGCTTGTGCAAATTATATACACAGAAAACATTAAAAAACTGATTTCCTAGATCCTGACAGTAGTGTAATAAAGACCTCAGAGTCTTCAATTACACTGTGGGATGATTCCTACTCCATCTGCTACTGCTTCATTGACCTCTAGTATGGGACTAACCTACTTCTCCCTTGGTAAAAATCATTTTTATTGATAATATTATAACGATATATTAAAGCACTATGGTATCAATAATGACAGATTCTGGGAAAAGGGGACATCGGACCATATTGCCATTGAAGGAAACCTCGAAAAGTTGGTAAACCTGAGCCTACAAAGGCTCAATCCATCATTGAGTTGAAGGTGTGCTAGTTATCTCACTTCTGTAAAGAATCAAAGGAGGGGCCGGGGGCAGTGACTCACGCCTGTAATCCCAGCACTTTGAGAGGCCGAGGCAGGCAGATCACAAGGTCAGGAGTTCGAGACCAGCCTGACCAATATAGTAAAACTCTGTCTCTACTAAAACTACAAAAAAAAAAAAAAAAAAAAAAATTAGCTGGGCGTGGTGGCACATGCCTGTAATCCCAGCTACTCAGGAGGCTGAGGCAGGAGAATCACTTGAACCCGGGAGGCAGAGGTTGTAGTGAGCTGAGATCACACCATTGCACTCCAGCCTGGATGACAGAGCAAGACTCCACCTCAAAAAAAATAATAATAATAATCAAAGGAGGCATGCTTCAAGCAGAATAAGAGGCCAGGTGCGGTGGCTCACGCCTGTAATCCCAGCACTTTGAGCCGGTGGATCACTTGAGATCAGGAGTTCGAGACCATCCTGACCAACATGGCGAAACCCCGTCACTACTAAAAATATAAAAATTAACCAGGTGTGGTGTCATGTGCCTATAATCCCAGTTACTCGGGAGGCTGAGGCAAGAGAATCACTTGAGCCCGGGATGTGGAGGTTGCTGTGAGTCGAGATCACGCCACTGTACTCCAGCCTGGACCAAGACTCCGTCTCAAAAAAAAAAAAAAGAGAAGATCATGGTTTTGAACCAACAAGCCTTTAAGAGATGTGGAGCCTATTTCTGGTGCAGATATACAGACCCGAAAGAAGATGTTTACCAGTGAGGCTACACACCTGATACTGAGTCAAAAATCTGATACTAGATGGAAAAAAAGAAAAAGAAAAGATGTAAGCTGAGCTTTACCCAAGTAAAGAAGTAGCCTTAATATCCTGCTAGTGGTCTGATTCAGGCAAATCAAAAAGGTCAAACAGAAACAGAAGAGGGAGAAGGGTAAGATTTCCAGGGGCACAGAACTCATAAACCCTCCAGGAAACAGGTAAAAAGAGCAATGGCAAGGTGAGTGTAGGATAATCTGAAATTCAGGGGAGGAATTCTTGGTGTCAGAGAGGAAAGTTTCTTCTTCAAACAGGGTGCCAGAAAAAGGGCAAAATTCTACAACTGTTAAGTCCAATGCTGAATGAAGTAAGAATCTTTACTTTAGTCCTATCCAAGTAAAATAATGAAAGGCATGTTTGATTTCAGTTATTCCCCAGAGGCAGGATGATACTTCACCAGTGCCTCTGGCCCACATCCCCACCTCCAATTACCACCAGTAGCGCCTCCTCTCTATGGTCACTCTAACAATTCTGTGTGGCTCCACTGTTCACATTGTTACCAAAAACAACTAGTGATAGATTATAGATAATAAACAAGAGATGGGAAAAAGCAGCACCTCAACTTAAACTAAAAACTGAAAACAGACAACAGAGAGAAGGGTCATGTAAAAATAAGTAGCAGATTCTAGTCTCTCCTGCTCCCAGCTTTTTCTGTTTGTTTGTTTGTTTGTTTGTTGTTTTTGAAACAGAGTCTCACTCTGTCCCCCAGGCTGGAGTGCAGTGGCACCATCTCGGCTCACTGCAAGCTCTGCCTCCCGGGTTCACGCCATTCTCCTGTCTCAGCCTCCTGAGTAGCTGGGACTACAGGTGCCCACCACCACGCCCGGCTAATTTTTTGTATTTTTAGTAGAGATGGGGTTTCACCGTGTTAGCCAGGATGGTCTTGATCTCCTGACCTCGTGATCCACCTGCCTTGGCCTCCCAAAGTACTGGGATTACAGGCGTGAGCCACTGGGCCCGGCCTCCTGCTCCCAGCTTTTCTAAATATCTAAGTTGTCTGCTAGTCATCTTTACCAGAGAAAGCTGTAGAGATCAAATAGGGATCAAAGGAGAATGAAGTCTCCATTCTTTCTTCCCCAAAGGGCCCTTTGAGTAATCCCAGCTACTCAGGAGGCTGAGGCAGGAGACTCGCTTGAACCCGGGAAGCAGAGGTTGCGGAGAGCCAAGATCGTGCCTGGGCAACAAGAGCGAAATTCCATCTCTCAAAAAAAAAAAAAATTATTCCTAATACTGCAGAAAAGCTTCCCTCCAATGAAATAGAAGGAACATGGAGAACAGAGGTAAAGAGAGAATAAACAGATTCTCCTTTCATCTTAGAAATGGCAGATGAGACTGCTTCCCAGAATGGATACTCCTGGTCGTTCAACCCTCACCTTCTATTACCTCATGCAACAGGCCCCTCATTCACCAATCACTCCATTCTTCTTGACTTTTGTCTAGGCAGTTCCAAAAGGATTACTTACACCAAGGGGGCTTCTCAGAGCGCTGCTGGAGTTGCAGGGGAGGTGAATGAAGAGTACGTGGTGGAGAAAATGGGTTATCTGAGGCCTGGCTGCTGTGCATGGAATCAAAGAGGGCTGGAAAGGAGGTAGGGTGAAGGGAGAGGGAAGAAAAAAAGACATTTGAGGAAGAATCCAGGAGCCATAGGTTCTTAACATAAGTCAAAGCCAACTTACCCTTCCTTGGCTGAGAAATAACATTTCCTGGGGACCCTTCAACCAAACCATTTTCAATTTTTTAAACTTTCTTTTTTTCTTTTTTTTTTTTTTTTTTTTTTGAGACGGAGTCTAGCTCTGTTGCCCAGGCTGGAGTGCAGTGGCCGGATCTCAGCTCACTGCAAGCCCCGCCTCCCGGGTTCACGCCATTCTCCTGCCTCAGCCTCCCGAGTAGCTGGGAGTACAGGCGCCCGCCACCTCGCCCGGCTAATTTTTTTTTGTATTTTAGTAGAGACGGGGTTTCACCGTGTTAGCCAGGATGGTCTCGATCTCCTGAACTCGTGATCCGCCCGTCTCGGCCTCCCAAAGTGCTGGGATTACAGGCTTGAGCCACCACGCCCGGCCTCAATTTTTTAAACTTTATATTATGAACATTTCAAACATATATTTTTAAAAAGTAGTTGAAAGACTGGTGCAGCCAATGCCCATATACCCGTCTCCTAGATTTAACACATTGACATTTTTGCCATACTTGTTTCATCTATTTCTGCATGCTAAAGTGTTTTAAAATAAATGATAGACATTATGAAACATGTCACCTCTAAATACTTCAAAATGCATCTCTAAAATATAAGAAATGGCTGGATGCAGTGGCTCATGCCTGTAATCCCAGCACTTTAGGAGGCTGAGGCAGGTGGATCACTTGAGGCCAGGAGTTCGAGACCAGCCTGGCCAACATGGCAAAACCCCATCTCTACTAAAAATACAAAAATGAGCCGGCATGGTGGCACATGCCTGTAATCCCAGCTATTCGGGAGGCTGAGGCTTAAGAATGGCTTGAACCTGGGAGGCAGAAGTTGCAGTGAGCTGAGATCTCACCACTGCACTCCAGCCTGGGGCACAGAATGAAACTCTGTCTCAAGAATAATAATAATAATAAAATATAAGAATTTTTTCCAGCTGGGTGTGGTGGCTCATGCCTGTAAACCAGCACTTTGGGAGGCCAAGGTGGATGGATCACTTGAAGCCAGGAGTTCAAGACCAGTCTGGTCAACATGGAGAAACCATGTTTAGGTCTCTACTAAAAATATAAAAATTAAGGCCAGGCGCAGTGGCTCACACCTGTAATCCCAGCACTTTAGGCAGCCGAGGCAGGTAGATCACGAGGTCAGGAGTTCAAAGACCAGCCTGACCAACATGGTGAAACCCTGTTTCTACTAAAAATAAAAAATTAGCTGGGTATAGTGGTGCATGCCTGTAATCCCAGCTATTTAGGAGGCTGAGGCAGGAGAATCGCTTGAACCCGGGAAGCAGAGATTGCAGTAAGCCAAGATCACATCATTGCACTCCAGCCTAGGCGATAGAGCAAGACTCTGTCTCAAAAAAAAAAAAAAAGAAAAAGAAAAAAAATTAGCTGGGTGTGGTGGTACATGACTGTAACCCCAGCTACTTGGGAGGCTGAGGCACGAGGATCACTTGAACCCAGGAGGCAGAAGTTGTACATGAGCAGAGATTGTGCCACTGCACTCCACCAAGGGCAACACAGAGAGACTCTGTCTCAAAAAAAAAAAAAACAACAAGGAAAGATATACATAAAGAATTTTTTCCAACATAGCCAAACATCATTAACAAGCTAAACAAAATTAAAAATTATTCCCTAGTATTATTCAATATCCAGTCCATATTCAAAATTTCCCAATTATTCCCCCAAATGTCATTTATAAAAGCATCCAAACATGAACCATGCACTGCATCTTATGTCTTTGAAGCCTCTTTTAATCTAGAATAGTGCAGCCTCTCCTTTTTTTCTTTTTTTTTCTTTTTTTTTATTATTATTATTATTTTTTTGAGACGGAGTCTCACTCTGTCGCCCAGGCTGGAGTGCAGTGGCCGGATCTCAGCTCACTGCAAGCTCCGCCTCCCGGGTTCATTCCATTCTCCTGCCTCAGCCTCCCGAGTAGCTGAGACTACAGGCGCCCGCCACCTCGCCCGGCTAGCTTTTTGTATTTTTTAGTAGAGACAGGGTTTCACCCTGTTAGCCAGGATGGTCTCAATCTCCTGACCTCGTGATCTGCCCGTCTCGGCCTCCCAAAGTGCTGGGATTACAGGCTTGAGCCACCGCGCCCGGCCTCCTTTTTTTCATAGTAACTTTTTTGAGACAGGGTCTCACTGTCACCCAGGCTGGAGTGCAGTGGCGCGATCTCGGCTCACTGCAAGCTCCGCATCCCGGGTTCATGCCATTCTCCTGTCTCAGCCTCCTGAGTAGCTCGGACTACAGGCGCCCGCCACCACGCCTGGTTATTTTTTTTTTCGTATTTTTAGTAGAGACAGGGTTTCACCGTGTTAGCCAGGATGGTCTCGATCTCCTGACCTTGTGATCTGCACCGCGCCTGGCCAGCTCACTGCAGTCTTTACCTCTTGGCTCAAGCGATCATCACACCGCAGCCCCTTGAGTAGCTGGGACTCAGGCACATACCACCACTCCTGGCTAATTTTTTGTATTTTAGTAGAGATGAGATGGGTTTTACCATGTTGCCTAGGCTTATCTTGAACTCCTGGGCTCAAGCAATCTGCCCGCCTCAGCCTTCCAAAGTGTTAGGATTACAGGTGTGAGCCACCATCCCCAGCCCATAGTAACTTTTTGAAAAGAAGGCCAGGCATGGTGGCTCATGCCTGTAATCCCAGCACTTTGGGAGGCCGAGGTGGGTAGATTGCTTGAGGTCAGGAATTTGAGACCAGCCTGGCCAATATGGAGAAACCCCATTTCTATTAAAAATACAAAAATTAGCTGGGCGTGGTGGTGGGCACCTGTAATCCCAGCTACTTGGGAGGCTGACGCAGGAGAATCACTTGAACCTTGAACCTAGGAGGTGGAGGTTGCAGTGAGCCAAGATCATGCCACTGCACTCCAGCCTGGGCAACAAAGCAAGACTCCATCTCAAAAAAAAAAAAAAAAAAAAGAGAGAGAGAAAAGAGAAAAGAAGAAAGAACAGGCCAGTTGTCTTTGCAGAAGGTCATGTCCCACATTCTGGACTTGTCTGATTGTTTCCACATAAAATCATTTAACTTATTTTACTATCCCTTGTATTTCCTATTAACTGGAAATTAGATCTAACTTAGCTGATTTATTTTAAATAATTTTGTTAAGAATACTTTAAGAGGTGATCCCATGTACTGTATATTGCATCACAGTGGAGGCATATTGTCTCATTGTTCCATTATAAGTAAGGCTAAGTTTACTAACTAGGTTAAGGTGGCACCAACAAGATCTCACTGTGAAGTTTTCCCCTTCTGATCAGGAGTGATCCTTTGAGGAACGTCTAGTTCTCCACCATCAACTGGCATATTTTCCGTAAAGAACTTTCCTTCTGCAAATGGGACTATTTGATTATACTGAACTACAGTTCTCACTGAAAAGGCAGAATATTTATTTCCCTTTAATTGGTTTTCAGAGTAGAGAGTGTGAAAAATATTCTCCAATAGTGACGGATGAGTATTAATTTGTTTTATTTATTTAATTTTTTGGGGGGAGACAGAGTCTTCCTCTGTCACCCATGCTAGAGTGCAGTGGTACAATCACAGCTCACTGCAGCCTCAAACTCCCAGGTTCAAGTGATCCTCCAACCTCAGCTTCCTGTAGCTGGGACTACAGGTGCATAGCACAATGCCTAGCTCATCTTTGTATTTTTGTAGAGATGGGGTTTCACCATGTTGCCCAGGCTGGTCTTGAACTCCTGAACTCACTTAAGTGATTCCCCTGCCTCGGCCTCCCAAAGTGCTAGGATTACAGGTGCGTGAGCCACCTCACCCAGCACCCAGCTCTTGTTTTCATTCTTTATGAGCTTGTGGATTTTTATTATATATATTCAGTGTGTGTGTGTGTGTTTCTTTTTTCTTAGAGACAGGGTCTTACTCTGTCACTCAGGCTAGAATGCAGTGATGCAAGCATAGTTCACTGCAGCCACAAACTCCTGCGCTCAAGCAATCCTCCAACATCAGTCTACTGAGTAGCTAGGACTATAGGTGTGTGCCACCATGCCTGGCTACTTTTCTTAATTTTCTTGGAGATAAGATCTAGCTATGTTGCCCAGGCTGGTCTCAAACTCCTAGGCTCAAGCGATACTCCCACTTCAGCCTCCTGAGTAGCTACATTCAGCATACTTTAATCAACTATAGTAATTATTCTCTCAAATGCTCAAATTGTCCCAATTTTGGTCACTGGGAGCCTCTTTGGGGTTGACTGCTTCCTTACTTTCCTTTACAACATGCTGCAAGATCATCCTGGGCTTTCTTTGCCCTCAACCATGCATTCTAAACAAAACTGGTTTTTGGTGGGGGTAAAAAAATCTTAGCTATTCCAATGGTTTATGGTCCACCAAATGGTCACAATACATAAACAGATATATGATATATCTGTGGTGTTAAATTTTCATGTGGTAGGAGGTAACCAGGGAAAAAAATTCTTAAAAAAACTCCTGGGATGGAGAGTAATTTTTAAAAAGTTTTAAAAAACCCTGCTCTAGACCAAAAATCAAGTTATTTCCCCATGGAATCCTGGTTACTTTTAGTGGAGAATGGTACATAGAGACCAAAATCTAGTTGCTAAAGGAGCTCATGTTACATTTGCCAATGCATAGTACTAGAAAAAGCACTTAAAAACCAGAAATCATATTGATATTTCCAATTCATATTTATCATTACAGTATTTTTAAATCTTTTGAATTTATACTTCTATCTAATTTATCTTACTTTGAAAATCCTGGTTCCTAACAACAGGAACATAATTCCTTATTTGCATTACTCTATAATGTGTATATATATAATATATGTATTCATACACTATATACATAGTATCAATATCACTGTAGTATCAATGTCACTATTAACAATTAAACTACTGAATAAGGATTACAATTATAGTT